AGTAGAAAAAGATAAGATCTCCTGACTAAATTGGGAGCATAGGAGAGGGTTGAAGAGGATGGGAGAGGCAGGGAGGGGACCAGAGACAAATGTAGAGCTCAACAAAAATCAATTAAAAAAACATTTTTTTAAAAGAGTAGGGGCTTAAAGAAAAAAAAGCTCTATTACTTGGCATCAAGCTAAGAAAATTATGTAAAAGCTGTGCTGCTTGTTCTTTTTATAACCAAGCTCCTTTACCTGCTAATCCTATAGGTATACAAAGAAATTTGATAATAGATGGTGTAGGTGGCCTTCTGTCTATGTCTTGCTTTCATTGGTTTAATAAAGAAACTGCCTTAGCCTTTTGATATGGCAGAACTTAGATAGGTGGAGTAGACCAAACTGAATGCTGGGAAGAAGGGCAGTGTGGCACATGCCATGAAGCTCCTACCTGTGAATGATGTTGGTTAGAATCTCTCCCGGTAAGCCATGACCTCGTGGTGATACACAGATTATTAGAAATGTGTTAAATCAAGATGTGAGAGCTAGCCAATAAGAGGCTAGAACTAATGGGCCAGGCAGTGTTTAAATAAATACAGTTTCTGTGTGGTTATTCCAGGGGTTAAGCTAGCCAGGTGGTGGGATGCAGCCCGCTCCTCCATACTACAAATTGATGTATTTCTTTTAGTAGACTTTGAAAATTTTAATTACATTCATCACATCATTGATATATATTTTCTTTTTTTTTTTTTTTGGACATTTGCCTTAAATTCTCAAAGGACAGATTCTTTAATTAAGCATTTATTAGAAATAATTGCTGTAAATGGCATACCAGCATAAATTAAGACTGATAATGCCCTGCTTATATTTTCAGAAAAATGAAGTATTATTCTGTTACAACACAGCTGCCTTTCAGGGATACCATGTAATCTTACAGGACAGACAACTGTTGAGAGATCTAACATCAAGAAATAAGATTGTAGATGTAAAAAAAGATGCTTGCTAAACAGAAGGGGTATACGAGAACTACCAAAGATATATTGTATAGTGCCTTACTAACCTTAAATTTTCTAAATGTTAGTAAAACAAGGACAGCAAGAGCAGACAGGCTTTGGATCATAAAAAGAAGAAAAAACCTGTTGATTTATATCAACCTGTATATTCCAAAGATGCCATGACATCTGCTTGGAGAATGGGAGAGGTATTATGATGGGGCTGGGATTATGTTTAGGTTTCTATAAGAGATAATAGATTGTGAATCCCATCAGAACTGATAAAAGCCCAACATGAACAAGAGACATATCCTAGATGCTGCAGATGTAGAGATGTCTTTTCCAAATTCAAGACACAGGAGGCCTTTGCAGCAAATAACTATTTCTCCTAACTGGGGACAGCTTAAGAATTAGAGTGACAGGAGAGGTCCTAATTCACATGACTCACAAACCTCTAAATTCTATCATTTATTTCTAGTCATGCTTTTTATGATAAAAGTGCAGGTAAAAGAAATGGATCATAATTATTGAGCTTGTATCCCCAATGCAACAATTAGCATAGCAGCAAGTTGAGAAGATATGGATATTTCTGTAGTGGTTAATGAATCTTCATGGCTACCTGTTTTTTATGAGAACAGAGGTCATGTTCAGCCAATGGATGAGGTTAGAGTGATTGACAATTACTCTGTGGAGTACAAGGATTTCAAATTCACACAGAAAATAGAAATCAATGCCTAACTATAACCTCTCAAAACTATCCATAGTCAAAACTAAAAAAAAAAAATAGCTGTAACAAGTTTTATATGCTTAAAGCATCTGGTTTTGAAGGGCAGAAGGTTAAAACTACAAGTTCAGTAAATCTACCTTTCTGCGAGATGTGGGTTACCAACAAGGACTCAGACTAGATGCACTGGCAACAATGCCATAGTGAGATACCTTGAGTGCTAATTAATATTTACCAAGAAATTATGTTCAGTAAAAGAATGCAGGTAGGCCAGAAGAAGGCATCAGATGATCTGAATCTGGAGTTGTGGGCCACCATGGGAAAGCTTGGAATGAACCTCTGTCTCTTGAATGACCACCAAGTACCCTTAATCACAGACACCACTCCAGCTATACAACTTCTTTTATATTAAAACATATAATATTTCTGTGATAATATAAATATAATAATAGTTTTTTTAGAAATTTTAGGAATCACATAGATAAAGCAATTGTTTCTGGACAATTAATAATTAGACATATTTATTAAAAGTCAGTATTATAAAATTGTATTATTACATTATGATGTGAGTTATTAGTGGTACAAAGAAACAATCCAAAAGATGAAGTTTAGTAGCTTTATTTTTAAATGAATAGCTCAAATTTTTGTTGGAAAACTCAAATTTATCTTAATATGCCCAAAACAAGTGTTGTTATTACTATCCTAACTTGACATAATTTCTTCATTTACTGTCTTATTCTGTGACTTTATTTATTGACTTACTCTGCTTTGTTTCTGTTTTGAACATTCTTCAGTTTCCTTCTGTGGACAAAAATCAAACAAGGAATCTGTTAGAACTGGAACCAAAGACACTAAGCACTAATAATGCTTCATTATCACAACATCTGAAAGCATATCTCTCAAAAAATATTTTCTTTCTATAAATTTCTATACAAATTATTAATTAAGCATCCAAGGGATTAAAGGTTTAAAGACTGTTACATAATTATTAAGGTAATCAGGCAGGAATGTATGGATAGAGGTGATGGTTGAGTTTATGAGAAAACATGAATACCCACATTATTGATTTTCTGCACCCTACTGAAAATCACATGTTCAAATTATCAAGTAGAAGGTGGATTCTGGGTGGCAAGGAGATTCTGAGAAAATGTTCCTATTAATAGTTGATCTGTCTTTAGGGATTCAGGATTTTGGAAGCTGTAATTAGATAATAAGTTTACTAGAATAGCTACACGTGTTTGTATGTGTATGTGTGTTGTCAACCATGTTTGATGAATCTCATTTTTTTTTAAAATCTACACTCTGCAAAGGGTATATTTTTATATAAGTCATTAGATGCATTGTCTTGCTTTTAATGTTTGCCCTTAGGGAACAGGACAGAGATTTAAGACACAGAACATTTTCTCTGATCTTTATATAAAAACATCACATTGGCTTTTAACTCCTGGCAAACAGAAACACTCTCAACATCTGGAAACACCAGAAAGAGCAATTAGGGAAGCCTGGCCTGGCATATCACTTCTGATTTTCTGGGTGGTTTATGTCATGACTTGATTCACTGTGGGAGGTGAACCCTTACTCTGTAGACAGTAATAAGTGGCAGCATCGTCAGACTGCACACTGCTGATCTCAAGAGAATAGTCTCTAGCATCTCCACTGCCCACGAACCTTGATTGCACACCATCTGCCAACCTTCTTGCATCATAGATCAGGAACTTAAGAGATTTCCCTGGTTTCTGCTGATACCATGCTAAAGCACCATATATATAGTCACTTGCTTGGCATGTGATAGTAACACTTTCTCCCAGAGATGCAGACAAGGAGGATGGAGACTGGGTCAATTGGATGTCACATCTGGCACCTGAGATTGAAAAATTTAAAGCAAATTTCCACACAGTTAATTTTAATAGGTGAAGAAATTCGCAGAGATCAATCAGCATTGACCATAGTCAGATGAATAAATTTCCAGTGTTGCCATCCTTACCTATAAGGCAGATCATTAGGAATCCCAGTAGCTGTGTTTGGGCCCTCATGTCTGTGATGCCACCTGTGTGAGGTTGATACTAGCACAGGATATGACCTGATTATGAAGAAGTCCTTGAAGCTATAGGCTGTGCTCTAAGCACACGCAAATCAGCAAAGGCTGGGCAAAGCCAAATGACTGTCCAAGTGGCCCATTATAGACCTTTTGTCCTCTTATGTATCAAAAGAGAAAGGCAGCACAGGTTTATTTGTATGGAATATGCTCCTCTTTACACAGGAACTGCACCAGTCTATGAGTTGCATCTGATTCTGATTTGTCATAGTCAATGTTGAATTTCCTTGCTATTTTTTCCTCTGTGACAAGGAATATACAGTTTTATAGTATGTAAATCCTAAATTGTCTTTTCACAGGTAACAGTAGATGTTATTGATGTCAAGAAGCTTACTGATTTTTTCTTTTCTGCTTTTTGTAAAACTGGATTTATTCTCACCATTTCTACCTTCCATCAAAAACCTCCCATAGAACCCTCTCCACTCTCTTTTAAATTATTAATTATTAATTCATGCATATGTATATTTGTGTATATATATATTCCTGATACAATCTTTTGAGAATATATGATATTGCATATATATATGTATATATATGTATATATATATTTCCAGTGGACAACAAATGTATGCTCTTCCCTAGTCCTTAACATAACAGTGACAAGAGGCTTTGAAAATATGAAGTTCACACTCAATTTGTTCACAAGTAGTTTTTTTTTTTCATAACACCAAATATAGTGGTGATATGTTTTAGTGTCTCAATACAAAGAACCTTTGGACAGTCCTTTCAAAGAAGAAAAAGAACACACAGAGAGAAATGCATAATTTGCATACATTTATACCATTCTCAGTCATCAAGTTTGAAAAATTGAACAGAAATGTTTCTTTTTTATTGTTTTTATTGAGCTGAATATTTTCGATATTCCCATTCCTTCCTCCTACCTACCCTTCTACCTTCTTTCATGATCTCCACACTCCCCAATTTACTTAGAAAATCTTGTCTTTTTCTGTTACCTATGTAGATTA